TTGGGGTCATTCATATATACTATCATATCATCTGCGAATAGTGACACTTTGACCTCTTCCTTTCCGATTTGTATCCCATGGATCTCCTTTAGTTGTCTTATTGCTCTGGCTAGGACTTCAAGTACTATGTTGAAGAGGTATGGAGAGAGTGGGCAGCCTTGTCTTGTCCCTGATTTCAGTGGGATTGATTTAAGTTTCTCGCCATTGAGTTTGATGTTGGCTATAGGCTTGCTGTATATTGCCTTTACTATGTTTAGGTATGTGCCTTGTATTCCTGATCTCTCCAAGACTTTAAACATGAATGGGTGTTGGACTTTGTCAAATGCTTTTTCAGCATCTAAGGAGATGATCATGTGGTTTTTAATGATTCTTAGATGTGCTTCTGCCACTCGACTAGACTATCATCTGCAAAATGGACTATTTTTCATAAAAACAATCCAAATTTAATGAATATATTCTTCTAATGGCAATATTTTCATTTTGATGCACTAACATTTCCTAGTTTGTAAACTTTATGCAATCATACAGATAAATACACATAATCATTTGCAAAGTGTGTTTGCATAGTGGCTTCTTTAATATTGGCAAAAATTAAGATACAGTATTTGATTGATACTGAAATCATAAGTAGTTAATATATACACAGACACTGAACTTCAATAAATTTTTCAGATATTCCAATGCTAGTGAATAAAGCATTGTTTTACATTTAAACACATTTTAGATTATCTTTTCAACGGATCCCACTCCAACTCTTTCAAGGGCCCAGTAATCCCCAAATCATGACCTCTTCTTTAATTATTAGTGTTATATGTGTGTGTATGTATGCACATATGCTCATATGTATATATGTGTGTGGATATAAATTTAGCCTGTTGGGTCCATTTGTAAGTATAGTTCACCTCCCTTCCCCTAGAGAAGACTGAGTCGCACTCTCTCAGTAGCCATTAGTTGCCTGTCGCTCTTCATCTAGGGATAGGGCCTTGCGAAGTGGTGTTGGCATTGTGCGTGCATTATTGAGGCAACCATATTAACCTGTAGAAAATGCATTAGTAGGCACTGAAAATTAATATAACCAGCAAAACCAAAATATTTCTTCCAGTCTCAGAATCTCAATATAGTCGTGTGGTATGGAGTATTCTCTTCTGTACTTAGAGGATTATCTAGGGACAGTTTATCCAAATTTACTTAATGGAAACATACCCCAGGGGATGTGTTAAATTACAAATGATTACACTGATAATCTTAGGCTAATAGAAACATTTTGTATTATCTAAATCTATTATTTAATATCGTCATAGGGAGTTTCCCATGAGTAGAAGGAGACAAAACTTGGCTCAGGGATTTTCAGTGCTAACAGACTTATATTCTATGTAGCTATATATTAGCTACAGCTGTCTGAATGGAAAATTCATATTGCTTCTCAGAAATAAGATCCAGGATTTGTAGTTTCCATATGAATGGAAACTTGGGGGGCATAAAACGGCTTTCTCTCCTGTTTTTAATAAAATTTTGTTCTTTTCGGTTACTTCTGGTCAGTATGTTTTACCTACATCAGAGGCAAGTTAAAACATTTGCATCATTCATCTGTAAAAACATGTCCCAAAACAACACAGTAAAAGTGTTTGCATAATAAAACACAGAGAAAGCAAGGAGCCTCTCCAGCAGCTTTTAAATTGTGGGTGCATTAAAGGCCCCCATCCCAATCCTCGAGCTGCAGGCTAACTAAATCTGCCACTTTCTTATGCACCATCAGGGTGAACGTTAATTTTTATTCATAAATGTTCACATAGTTCTTGTTTGGGCACTGTAGCCTCTCGGTGATAACACTCTAGCCACAATAACTAGAGAGAAAAAAAATCTCTACAAAAATAAATATGATAGAGGAGAAAATTTGATCTAAGAGAGGTATAGACAGCCAGAGGAAAAGACGGTGTTGTAGGACACATTTGAAAAGACTGGATCAAAGCGCTGGCATTTGAGTTGAATCTTGAAGGATAGTTATAAGTCGGGAATGAAAGGAAAGGCATTCTAGGGAGAAGAAACTCCTAGAAGGAAAAAAAAAAAAAAAAGCTGGGTGTGGTAGTGCCCCAGTTCCCTAATGACAACACTCAGGAGGCGTGTGTATCTCTGTGGATTTGAGGCCAGCGTCGTCTTCACAGTGGCTTCCAGGACAGCCAGGCCTATACAGGGAGACTCTGGCTCCAAAAAACAAGACAAAAGCATGGGGCAAAGGAGGGATAATGGGGCCAGCTTCAATTTAAATAATTAAGTTTGACTAGAGTGTAAATGTAAGTGATACAAGACAACCAGAAGAGTGGTGGAAGACAAATCTCATGGTCTTTCAGTATCTTATGATAAAACAGACCCTTTTTCATACTTGGAATAAAGTGTTAAACATTCGAAACATTTTTAAAAAGTGTTAGTAATTTGTCTGATAGAGAAGACATTCTCCAGATAGCACAGAGCAAAGGAGATAAGATGTGGATACACTATCTAATCTCAGTTCTCTTCTTGAGAAAGCACACATGTAGAGCGTTTGTCATTCACCAGCTGTCTAGAAGGGAGATCCAATGTCAGTAGCAATATTTATGTCAGTAGATATAACTCCATTTATTTTGTATCATGCTGACAGATTATTTTGTCATTTCATAGAGGACCAAAATAAATGTGTTATCTGTAAGTTGTACTTCAGTGCTTATACTTTGTTTTAATTATTGCCACCATCATTTGTAAGCTAGGAATGGTGCTGGCCAGAAGTGGCAGTTCTTTAGCAGGTAGAATGAATTTTGGGCAATGTGAAGATAGATACTGTGTCTTCTTTAGCATTCTCTTAATTATAGGAGACTGAGCTTAGACACTTGTCTAAACAGAGATTTTATTGCCTCGTCATTTTCTTCTCACTCTCTTCACTTTCAGGCTAGCCCTTGGAACTCCTCTGTCCTAATTATCAATTAAATACACTTAGTGCACACTCAGCAGATAGTCTAAAACATGGCCAAAAGTAAACACTGAAAATTTATGACCAACTAAACAGACAAGCAGAAAACAAACTGCAGTTATGCCGTATCATTCCTCCAGGCAAGAGTTTTACTAGAGGAAAAAACACTGGTAGCAATCCAAATCACCTGGAAGAAAGTTCAAATGCCCCAGAATAAACTACTGCTAAAGTGGGCTTACGTGCAAATATCTCACAGCCAACAATGGATACCTTATTGTTAGGATTTAGAAAGCAACAACAGAGTACCTGACTGCCAACCCGGGGCACTGCTAGCTTAGGTCATGCTTAAATTAAATCATCTCAGGGAGGAAGAGACTTGACTCTTACAGTCCTTCCTACTGTGGTTAAAACAAAACAAAACAAAAATAGATTCAGCACACATCACATTTGGACACATTAATCAAAATAACTGTAGCACCAATTTTAGCCATGTTTCTTCAAAATACCATAGTAGAAAAACACTTCATTGTTGCCACCAAGGAATTCAATAAGTACTGCACACCTACTGAGTGCAAGGACCAGAGTGAGTAAAACAGTTGTGAGCATTTATCATCCATTCGTTAAGAAAGTGCCAAGTTGCATTTATGCTGCCTTTGCCGCTCCTACTCAGACTCGAAATCATCTGCTCCCCGTCCCTGTTGGGTTGGGAGCTCTGAGAAGAAAAATTGTTCTGGCACTTGAAGTGCGTTATGATACAAACTGTAATCCCTTAAAATGAGAAAAGTACATATTCTTTGAAAATCAGAAACCTGCCTGGCATGAAAAAGTCCTCCATGAATGTCTATGGCGTACCACCCCACATGCACTTGTATTCACAACACTCCTGTAATTGGAATGCTCGTCCCATGAAGCCAATTATGTTGGGAAGTAGAGGTACTGAAAGAGAAAAACACTGCTGCAGGTACCCTCACAAGGATTCTGGAGCACAGGGTTCCTTGGGAGCTGCTAAGGGTGCTGCCGGGAAGCAGTACAGGGAAACCCACTGATGAAGCACAGTTTGTTAAGCCCACTCCTGTGGTAAGCATTTGGAGTTCATGCCCAATGGTCTGAAAGCTGCTCCTGAGGGGTGTTAAAAACCTCAGCAGAACAACCTTCTCCTGTTCTCGGGGAAAGCCTCTCACACGGAAAACTGCAGACACTTGGGCTGGAAGGAGGTGAGAGCATAATGAAAAGTCTGAGAAATGCTGGCAATCACTCCGATTGCCCACTACAGCCAGTTGCACACAAGCTCCAAAGCAACGTCATATATATGATTTATGGTTTCCTTAATTTTGACTGCATGTTACATTCTTTCCTCCATATTGAATATATATTATTATACATGTGATATATATATAATATACATATATGACATATATAAAATATATCATATAGAATAATGCATATCCTTTATATATTATTTATGACATATAATATATCCTTTCAGATCATTCAAGAAAACAAATGCTATTTTTATTAAAGAAAATAATGACTGTCAATCTAACAAATAATGGCAGCCAACAGTTCCTGAGACGTTGCCTTGCACTACTTCATGTATATGAGCTTTCTTTCTTCTCAGCCAAACTCTGAGTATAAATAACTACCACTGTCACCTGACAGAGGAGGATAGTGAGGAATAAAAAGCTCTGCCCCCAGACAGTCCTGTGAGTGTTGTTCAACCCCAGGCAGTTCCCACCAGAGTCCACAGCCCAAGCTAATGTTCTCCATGGGCTCCATGCCTGCTGATTTTAGAAGGAAGAAATGGATGGTACCATCAGTCCACAGATTTGATGACTGGAAAACTGCCCAAGAATTTTAATCCTTATTGCAGAACACCACTGATGCTCATGGTCATCAAAACAACACTCCCAGCTCATGTACCCAAGACCTCCCACGTATGTACTGTCATTAAAAAGTGTTCTTCACGATGGTAAGGATATATAAATAAGCTATTTTACATACATTTTAAAGCATGCCAACTTAAAAGTAAAATAACAAACAGACTTCGAAATAATAGTACCTTCACTGTCCACATTCCAGCTTCAGGCTCTTTGACATTCACCACTTTGGCAGAGTTATGGATATTTAACAGCTCATTCAAGCCAAATCCCTTTTTTATCAGCTTCCCTGAAAGACAAAAAAAAAAAAAAAAAAAAAAGGCAAAAAGCATAATTTCTCTCCCAGGTAAAGAGATCAGCTAATTTAACATGCACAAGCCTCAGAATATGATCAAATTTCACATACATAGGGGATTTTTTTGCCAAGTATGTATGTTTATTAATTAACAGATATTTGTGCCCATATCTCAAAATATTGTCTTATTTAGATCTAAAACGTACTTAATTGTAGGTTTCTGGGCATGACAACTGAAGTAACAAGATCCCCATCTGTTCTGTGTTTGATAGTAAAATGAGAATAACAATTGATAAACTGTCCCCTTAACTCTCAAGCCAGCCTGGAGAACAAGTGATATGTTACTAAGACGTTCCATGCAGTCACTAGAGAGGGGTAGAGTGCAGAGAGGCAAAACCAGAATACAGGTCTTTATGGAGGTCAGTGTAGGTGCTGATAACGTGAGCAACCTGAGCAAATCTCTGCACAAAGTGCAGACCTTAACCAGTTTTCCATGAGGTGCAGAAAAAGGCTGTCTATCGAAGGACAAAAAAAATGACATTGTAACAAAAGCATGGTACCATCTCCTCTCTGCCTGATACTTGCCTTCAATGACTACAAGTTGGGATCTAAGGGAAATATAAATACAATGGAACTGAGCCCTAGCTTTTCACATTTGGCCTTCCTGTGCTCTATGTACTCAGGTACGTGTTTTAAGTCATTGAAAGGTTGACCATCATCATGCACCCAGAGGGTCTTTAGAGCAGTAGGGACACGGCACAATGTGTACAGCTCTTCGGGGTAGCATGGGAGTTATGACAGCGCCTAGAATGTGGCTGTGTTGACAAATGCCCTCTGAGACCAGTGCTCTGCAACTCTTAAAAAGGAGGTTTTTATAGTCTTTGTAAATTTCAGTGTTTTGCTAGCATGGATGAAGACTCTGAGCAATATTTCATATGCTTACAGGAATTATTTCACATTATTTGCTTCTACAGTTACACTCTTTGCCTTTATAAATATTCACAAACAAAGAAAAAGGTACAGCAGACGCCAAAGCCACAGTAGAAATGGAACATGTTCATCAGAACCAGTAGGTACGCTTAATTCAATGTGAGGCGAAATGAGATTCCTTTATCCTAAGATTTGCTTTTCAGTGTGAGTCTCGGCATTTTCAACCAACAGTAGAAAATTAGAAAAATCTTGTCTGAAAATTACATGTGAGAAAAAAGTAAGTTAAAACACTCATTTGCCTACTGAGAATATAATTTATTTTCGCACCTCTGGGAACTAAAGAGAGAACCTTGTACACTTTAAGCAAGTGCTCTACCCTGAACTTTAGCCCCAGCCTAACTTATTTATCTATTTATTGATTTATCTGTTTATTTGTGTGTGTGTGTGTGTGTGTGTGTGTGTGTGTGTGTGTGTGTGTGGTGTATGTGCACATGTCTGCATGTGAACACAGGCACACAAGTGGAGTTCAAAGGCCACTTCAGGTGTCAACTCTGGACTTTCACCTTGATGTTTTTGATGCAGGGTCTCTCATGCTATTTGCCAATGCTACTTAGGCCAGCTACACGGTCTCCGGGTACCCTCCCATCTGCCTCCCATCTTGCCCTGGGAGTACTAGGTTTGCAGACACGTGCTACCATACATGGCTTTTTATGGGAGCCCTGAGTATCCAAACTCAAGGCCTCATGCTTTTACGGCAAGCACATTACTCACGGAGCCATCTCCCTCTCCCATTAAATTTTCCTTTTAAGGAGCTGTGTTCTTTAAAATTAAACTTTTCCAAAAAATGACAATGAAAAGTTAAAAATTTGTTTAAAAATAGTTACTTTAGTGATGTGTTCAAAAAATTAACATAAGATGTTAAATTTTACAGAATAAATTACCATAAAATACATACAATTTAAAATAATGTCCTGGGGGCATAGTTGAGAGGTAATGTCCTAGACAAGCAAATAGCAGACCCTGGGTTTAATCTCTAGTACTGAAATAATGATGCTGATGACATTATTACATATAGTTATATGAACATACTATAATATTTAAATAGCTTTTCATGTGGATAATTAGCTACAATAAATTTCATGAATGTAATTGGTTTAAATATGAGAAATTTTAACTTTGTTCATTCTCATGGTCATTAAAAAACACTCAAGACTAATAACATTTTCCTTTCAAACATCTATAGTCATTGATGAATGCTTTGACCATATTTATAAAGCTGGAATTAATTAGCAAAGGGAAAGCAAAAAATTGCCTTCCCTGTCCTCCATATTTAATAATCAGGGTTTGATTCATCTCACCGAAAGGGTTGCGAATTTCAATCCCGGGAGAAGGGCCACTCAGGGACACGGTCACTTCTTTGAGGCTGGGATCAAAAGGAATTTTCCAAGTATTTACAGCCTGTTCCAAATGATCGGTGGACAAGAGGTGCACTTTGGAGGCCTGCACTGCTTCCTCCACCCACTTGAGGACCTACGGGAGGGAAAGAAAAGTGTGAATGGCGCCTGAGACATCACTTCCGGCAACATCATTTCCGGTTCGGGAGCTTGTTCGGTGAAGCCCTGACCTCTGAGGCGCCTCATGTGCTGGTGTGAGCCTTGTCGCATCCTTAGCAAACACACACCTCACACTCCACCTCTGTGCTCTGTAGGCAACCAAAAATTTAAAAAGAGCAGGAAAATATTTCAGCCTCAAATCAACTCAAGGAGTACACGGAACAACAGTCCTTGGGAATATCTTACACGATTAAATGCTAAAAAGGTGTGACTGTGGCAAGCATCTACTTCATATAATTTTTACAACAAACCTATCTCCCGCATTAGACAAATGGTACATGTTTAGCTAAGTACTGATTAACCAATCTTACTTAATTCAATCTCAACTCGGCTGTGGTGATACCTATCTACGTCACATCTGTGCTTGACATGTACCTTTACTTTTTAGCACCACCTTGTAATTATGGACTATAATCTAAACAGAACTGACTCCTAAGCAAAGTTAAAACATTAAAAATTTAAAATTTGTGAAAGCGGTCACAAACTAAGTGATCAAGCAACGAATACTGAACATTGTTTATATTTCCTATAAAAAGATCATTTTCACTTTCTTTGCTATTTTTCTCCTAAAGAGTATGGAAATTAGCATAATTAGCAAAGTGCGATAGTTATGTTAACTACATAAATAAACGTGCATTGTCTAGGGTTCTCTCCCATGTACGTTGTATTGGTAGACATATTTTTTCTTTTTTTTCTTTTTTATCTTTTTATTTTTATTAATTATTGTTTATTCAATTTGTAATCCCCCTGTAGCTCCCTCTCTCCTCCCCTTCCAATCCTACTCTCCCTCCCCCTTCTCCACCCATGCCCCTCCCCAAGTCTACTGATAGAGAGGTCCTCCTCCCCTTCCATCTGATCCTAGTCTATCAGGTCTCTTTAGGAATATTAGATATATAATATAGGATAAACATACTAAAATCTGTACACCTAAAGAAACTAATCAAGAAGGAGGACTCTGGCTAAGATGTTCAATCCCCATTCAGAAAGGCAATGAGGATGGACATCAGAAGAGGGAGAAAACAGGGAAGAGGACAGGAGCCTGCCACCTAGGGCCTCTGAAAGGCTCTACCCTGCAGGGTATCAAAGTGGATGTTGATACTTATAGCCAAACTTTGGGCAGAGTGCGGGGAATCTTATGAAACATGGTGGATATACTTTTATGCAATATTTATTAACAGCTTTTCTTCTCTGCATTGGTATCTACTGAAATTTTTGCTTTTATTCTATATCATTTACTTTTCACACATACTCCTGCCATTGCTCCAGGGATAAAAATCACACAAATTTCTGTGTGTAACTAACACCAGGTGGTGCGTGATTAAGATATTAAAGGTGGCCTGTGTATTGATGGTAAAGAGATTGGTTATAATGACAAAAAGTATGTCTTTTGTTTATTTGTTGAGATAATGTCTCCGCTACCCCAACTGGAATTGAACTGACTATAGAATTAAAGCTTGCCATAACTCCTAATCATTCTGCTTCCACCTGCCAAATGATAGGATTATACACAAAGCACCACCACTGCCAGCCTGATGCTCTTCTTAAATAAGAAGGTGCAGGGGAAGCAATCAATGCTAGTTAAAATCTGGAAGCACCACCACACCACTCCCACGTGGCTGACACTAAAATTGTATTAGCTTCTTCCTCCCCAAATAAATATTCTTTTCTTCCTCTGATTATATGTTTCAATAAAAATGTCATAGGCAACTAAAACAATCTGTAAAAGGTAGTGGTTTCTGTAAATAAAGGAAGAGGCAAATTCATGGTAGGTGGCAGGGAGGATTTGGACAAATGTACAAGAATACCACAGATAGGTTAGAAAGAGGAGTGATGTCATCTAGGAAAATGTTCAGATAAAAGCTAAGCTGAAGAAATTAAGGCAGAACACACCAAGATGCTGCATATCCATGCTTATTGGAGCACTGTTCACTGTAGCAAAGGTGAATGGAGAAAGAGAAAGTGGCACACACACCTAATAAAGTTTTATTCAGGAGTAAAAACAGGTAAGATTGTGCCATTTGCAAGAAAATTTATCACACTGGAAGATCACTGTGTAAAGCAAAATCAGCCAAACTCAAAGACAAATATCACATACTTCCATACGCGCTAGCTAGACACAAACATTGAAAATAAAAGGAATATACGGGTGCTAAATGGGTCTTAGGGTAGACGGAAAGGAGAAGGGAGAATAAAGGAAGAAAAGACAAATATTGCATATTTTCCTTATTTGTGGATTCTAGATTGAAATATGCACATATTCATGCATATATGATACAAAAAAGCAGAAAGGAGCCTATAAGGGCATAGAAAGACACAAGCAGGCAAAGAAATGATAGAAAAAGGAAGATGACAAAGAAAGAAATGTGAACAAAGTACAGTTATATATGGACACACACATATATATGGACAGTAGATAGATGATGATGATAGAGATAGATAGATAGATAGATAGATAGATAGATAGATAGATAGATAGATAGA